TATATATATATATATATATATATATATATATATATATATATATATATATATATATATAGAGCGTATTCCATTTTGAGGGAAAAAAATAAAGTCAGCGGAAGCATATTGTATTGTGAGGCACCAGCTGTGGAACGGGTCGATGACGTCATCCCCCATGCTGTAGCTAATTCGATTCACGGTTGGAGAAAATTATTGTTTATTGTTGGGTTTTAGGTGTATTGTGTCTTCCCCCTAATATAGTTCATTAGTCCCAGTTGGTTTGTGAGTAGTTCAGTCTTGCTGTGTCTTTTTCCCTTTGTATTGAGTGTGTCGATGTAATGTAAACAGCAATGTGTCCCTCATACCCCTGTATCTATTTTCCCCATTGCGTAGGCTAGCCTGCTTCACAAATGAGCGGATCCCTACGAGTCGCTCCTGTGATTCACCCACTCGGCATTACAATATGTTTCACATTTTATTAGTTGATTTATCTAAAAATAAGCAGACTTGTGGAAGTTCAGCAACGTGAAAGTTCTCTCGCTTAACTCGTGCGTGAAAAACAAAAAGTGCGTATGCTAGTGAAGGCTCATTTTTTGGCGTTTTCCAAAGTGTTTGCTGACAGCGGTTGTGGGTCGTTACGAGCAGATGTGCGGAGCTCGTGTCGGGCTTCATTAAAAGTTAGAGCGTCAACACCAGGCCGAGGACGTGCAAGACGGGATTCGCAAGCCAGACGTGGCTTTAAGGGAGGGAAGCGATTTGACAAAGGATATGGAAAGGTGTCTTTTTCTCTTGTGCGGACAGGAGGAGGCTGTGAGCTATTACACCAAGCTGGAGTCGAAGCTGAAGGAGGAGTACAGGAAGGAGAAGGAGAAAGTCAACACGAAACCTCTCGGGATGGCGTTTGTCACTTTCCAGAACGAGGCGATGACTGCCGATGACTGCAGTGTGAGTCATTCTTCTGTGTGCCTCTTTTCTGTGTGTGTGTGTGTGTGTGTGTGTGTGTGTGTGTGTGTGTGTGTGTGCGTGTGTGTGTGTGCATGTGTGCATCTGTAGGGGTGACATTTTGAAAAGTAGAGGACCAAAATAGAAACGTTAATGTCGGCTTTATCAATGGCTTGCAATTTGTGCTCTATTTCATAACTATAATCATGTTTGGAGTGTCACAGTATAATGACAGATACAGTATCAATTCTGCTCTGTGTCTGTGCTCTTCATTGAAAGCAAGTTGTCTTCTTGTGGAAAATTGCACGTGATGCAGCTGAGTAGAATTATTTTCCTGGTGCTGGGAGGATCAGTCTGCTTTATAATGGAAGCGCACTGCTATTGTAATACTGAGTCTATATTGGAGGAACTTCTACAATCAGGTATTAAGAAGTAAAACAGGCCTGTTCAATTTAATAAACACACGTTGTTTGAAAACTGGGTCAGTTACTGAAATGTATTTACATTTGATCGAAATAAGTGGAATCAGTATAGCCAATTTGTCTCCCAAAAAATGTATGAGTAACATTTATTTATGAGTATCATTAAGCAGAAATCGCATTATGAGCAACAAAGTTAAAACATACAAAAGAAAATGCAGTGATTAAAATTCAGAGAAACAAATTCAACAAATCAGAGAAAGTAGTTTTGGTAGGTTTTGATTAGGGCTGCGTGATATTGGAAAAAATTCTAATTTTATTTAGTGATAAATATCAAGATATTTCTGAAGTGAGAAAGGAGTTGAAAACTAACTGAAAACAAACTATAGATGAATAGGACTTCTTATGATCTACCAATAGTGTCTATCGAGTCAGTTGTTGGTGTTGCCAAAAAGCAGTGTTGACAAAGCATTTACTTTTGAAAATACTGTTGAAATGACGAAATTAAAAATTAGAAACTGTCCAACCAAGCTGATTATTGCGATCCTTGTGAATTGACAAATGCATGTGCATAACATGCGATGTTGATATTAACTTGGCACATCATGCAGGTCTAGTTTTGATGATCCTGTGTCCCCGCCCCCCCCCCCATTTTGGGATGTGTTGTGGTTCCCTGTTAGAATGGGGGCATGTTTCGACCAAACCTGCAGTTGTTGTTATTAACTGCAGGTGACAGACTGAGCCTGTGTCCATGTAATGGATCAGTAACTGGGCACTGGGGCCTTTTTCTGTTTTTATTCTGTTATTGCAGTATTGTCATTTCCCAGGTGCTTGTTAGCTGTAGAATTCTGTGCTGTATAAACATCCTCCTCTCCTGATGCAAGAGGCCAGAGGCAGTTGAAATGCTATTTTCTGTATGGAAACATGCCTTAAATGTTTAATCTGATGGCCTTTAATGCCTTATCCACTGAGAGCAGGGGCTTTTGCCGCGATATCACTCTCTTTTTGGACCTTTAAATACGGAAGGTGAGTGGTCTGTGTGTGATGCAGCATGTGAGTGTGTGTATGCTGATGTGCATTGTGGGGACTGGCTCCAGTCACGCCAGTGTCCCGCCGTGACTGAGGCAGTTTGTCCTCTCTCTCTTTCTCTCTCTCGCTCGCAGAATCCTGAAGGACTTCAATGCCTGCCACTGTCAGGGCTGCAAATGTCGCCACGAGCCCAAGTCGTCTCAGTTCAGCGAAAGCTTGCATATCTACAACTGGAGCGTCTCCTATGCCCCAGACCCACAGAATGTGCGATGGTGAGGCACCCAGTCTTCTCTGTGGCTAATTGCCTTTAATTAAAGGGCTGAGTATCTCCTGATGCACTGAAGCTCCTTAACCGCTTAACCAGCACCTGATCTTTATTTGCCCCAAGTCAGTGTCATACTGTCTGCTGCCTAAATTAATTCATCAATCAGATGTTTACTTTTAGTAACAAGTCATTTTAGTAACAAATATATATATATATATCCAAACCAGTCAGGACAGCTAGATATATTTGGTCTGATTTTAATTACACACTAAATCTTCTGCCACTAATAGGACAGACTCTGATGTTTCAGAGAGAGAACAGACTAATCTCCCATAAGAAGTGTGTAGAAGCAGGTATTCAGGGTGCCCAGAAATGTTGAGTCCCATGAAAACCCCCTTGCCCGTCACTGTCGGGATGGTCAGCTGGCTTAGTTTTGCCCTTGTTGCCATGGAGCCAGAGATAAACGGCCTGTTGGTCATCGAACGAAGAGCATCTTGTCGATACCTCTTACTCAATACTGCTATTTATATCTGGAAAAATCTAGATGGTACACTCCCACAGTTTTAGGTTCTCTCTGGCTACATTTGTTGAATGTGAGGAGCTTAATTGAAATTTCGATAACTGTAAAATGTTTCCTGTGGTAGAAGCCACTAACAGTTATCTTAATTTTCTAATGGAAGTAAAAAAATTTCCAGTGACAGTAATTAGCAGCTTCTTAGAGTGCTCCTACATTATGGTGAAATGCTCTTTTCACTGCACCAAAGAATAATTGGGAAATTGGAGTAGAAACTTGGATAACACTTTACTGTACTTGACAGTGCACAAATAATGTGGTATTATGCTATTATGTGTGTATTACTTAATCACAAACTAAGTCGTAATTACATACTTATCTCATGTTTGTTCATCATTAATGAATTGTGACACATCTTTTACCCCAAGCAGTTACAGTATTTGTTACTATATCTGTTAATTGTGTAAACCTTTGTAAACTACTGAAGGAACAAGTAATGAATAACGTTACATACTGACCTCATGTTTGTTCATCATTAATGAATGGTGACTTTTCTTTTATCTCAAGTACGTACTATATTTGTTCATGATTTGTACGTCAGTAGTAACTGAGTTACTAATAAGTGATTGTGCACCCTCAAGTAAAGTGCTACTGAAACTTGTAATGGGAAATCACTACCTGGGAGATATTATTGATTTCAGCAAGGAGTAAAGCATGCAATACATTTTAATTTAATAATAAAATGTTAAATTGTTTAGCAGAGCACATAAATTCTACTTTTCAAGCTTCCTATACCAGCTGCTCTTCGTGATCTTGGTGTGTATTAATTACATTTAGTGCAATTTTTACATTCTTGTATATATTTCAAAAAAAAAAAAATTCTGCTGTAGCAGGCTGTTACGAAGCACACAATGACTGCTTCAGCTGAGAAGTACAATAGAATGTATTTTTTGGGATGCTTTGCCCGTCTGGTTGATGGAGAAGAATTTGCCTCCAGTCTTTGGCAGATCGCATCGTTCGTATCTCTTGTTGATTAGCTTGGTTGCCTCCAGGTGTGTCAGTGACTTCAAAGTCAACCAACTGAGCTGTACAGTCAAAGTGCTCATGCTTTGAAGCAGCTGCATCCTATAGCTACACTGAGGTTTTTGAGGGCTCATACTGGTTTGTTATGTAGCTGGACTTTCTCAATGAACTGTGGAAGTATATTTGGCCCCTTGAGCAATAATTATATCTGGTTTCCTTCCATGTATATTAATGAGCCTTGATTCACAAAGTGGTTGTGTGTCATTACAACTCTACCTCTTTAAAAACAATACAAGTGTAATGTACAAATGTACAAACAAACCACCATTGGGTAGTTTTGGCCTGTGGACGACGAGATTATTTTTCCATTTTCCCTTGGTACTTGTGCCTTTTATCTGTCATCGGGTTTAGTCTCCCATCATCTCACCAAGAATGACTTCAAGGATTTCTCAATGGATCTGACCCATACGCAAAGCACAAAGGTTCATTGAAATTTACACAACGTACTCCTTTTAGCTATTGGGTTTCCTGGCAAGCTTCATGAAACATCTGTCTTTGGGAATCAACATGGTGTCTTCGCTGGGCCTCGCTTGGCTGAGCCCCACGGTGTACCTCTTTGCTGACTACGCCTGCTCTCCTCAGAATTCCTTTTGCATTCTGAGGACTCCCCGACATCGCCTAATTACGTATGTAACTGGGTCGCTTCGCGGGAAACATCCCCAGCGCGATTGTTAGTTCCCGCCGCGAGCCATTTTTGTTGTCTGTCGGATTTCAGTAGATCAGTCGAGGCAGCTGCTGTAGGCACGTTGGCGGCGGCTGCCTGAGAAGAAGCAGATATCGCCGGACATTCTAACCGGTTTCATATTCGCTCGCGATTTGTATGCACTCGTTCTCGCCCAGAGAAGCCTTCCTGTGTAGATTGTTAAGAAATGTAATGGCTCTGGTTTTATGGTTCTACCGCTGAACTTGGCCTTGGATAGAGGTAATGTTGGGTGACCAGACAATCCCTGTCAGAAAGGACACTTTGAGCTTCAGGTCTTGCAAATTCCTTTAAAACTGAAAAGCTCCTGCGCTTGGCAAAATAGTTCAGTTCTTTTTGTGCTTCAACTGGTGTATTTCCTTGATTGAAAGACTCATCCAGCTGTTTCACATTAACATTAGTGACACATGCATGATTGTAGGAGACTGACCAATCAGCACACAGCAAGAACTCAGTGCTTAAGTGAAATCCAGGTCCTTTTAATTGAAAAGGTAGTTTACAAATCCTGTTACTGTGACCCTAAAAATAGCATGGTTGTGTCAATTGAATGGCAATGCTCAATGTAAGGAGAACAGTTTTTCTGGGGGAATGTTTTGAAGCCTGTAGAGAAACTGTCCGCAGATTGTCTAGTCAATGGAGAGATTCACTCAGGACAAAAAGCCAAGAAGATTGGTGGAGCCACCTGGAGGCTGCTAGTTTGGCCTGTAGTCAGCGATTTCTCCCAGTACCTGACCTTGCTTGACAGCTAATAGCTCAGCATCGGACAGCGTGGCTGGTGAGCCAGACATCGTGGGGACTGAGCTGATATACTGCAGGAGGAGGAACCCGTTTTGCTGTACACTTCCAATTACACACATCCAATCGCAGACACTAATGCAATTACAATAACAGCACTATGGGAAATCATCTCATTATATGAGGTTAGATTGCATGTCAGACTGCAAATGAATTATTTTGCGAGGGAATTCTGGTGAATACTTTCTTCAGGCATTGACATAGTAAATCTCTGTTACAGACAGTTGGTAGTGGATATAGGTGTGTTATTCTTCAAGGCAGGGGTACTTTTTGCTTAATATAGTTAGGGGAAGGATTGGGTTCATGCTGTACACTTTAGAGTAGTGGTGGGCAATATTGCAATATTTTATCATAACCGGATACAATTGTATTCATGATACTCATTTCAGAAGTATCTCAGGGACTACAATTGCATTTAATTTAGTTAAGCATTTTGTCCGATGCAGCATACACATAAGGCATTCCATTCCACAAACATACATGCTGACAGGGAGTGCAGCTAGGCTGAGCGTCCAATGAATGCTCAGGTACAAGTGCACTAACATTATTATTATAACAACAGAACAAACAGGCAAGCATGGATGACGCGATGCCTACTACGACAAAAACTGACTGATGTGAAACAAAAACAATTTCAGTCTGCATAACATCTCAGCGCTGTCTGTATATCTCAGTTCTTTATCAATCATCTTAGTGGCTAAGTCTTGCGAGAATTAATATCTTAATTGATGTTTTTTAATTGGTTATTTAACATTACTACATACATTTAAAAAAATCATGATCTATATTGTGGATTGTGATTCTAACCAAAAATATTGTGATATAACTTTCTGGCCATATCTCTCACCCCTACTTTATAGCACTTTTATATTTTGAATTTATGTTTTTAATGTCATATTGATGTTGGCAGATGGAAGTTGCTTGTTTCTAACCCCGTTCAGGTGACTGCTCAGGCCACTGTACAATGTATGTGTATCTTTTTTCCTTCCTTGTAGGGAGAACTTGTCTCTTGGGGGTGTCTCCTGGTGGGTGCGCTGCTTCATCATCAATTGCATCCTCTTCCTCTTGCTCTTCTTCCTCACCACTCCGGCCATCATCATCAGCACCATGGACAAGTTCAATGTCACCAAGCCAGTGGAGTACCTCAATGTAAGGGGGGGACATCCTTCTGAAGCAGTGTTTACACCCTAAGTGTTATGGAACATTTAGCTACGTACTCATCAACCCCCAAGTCTACCGAAAGCATTTTAGCATGTTCCTGTTAAGCACATTTAGAATATAAATGGTGCACTCCTGAATTTGATTGAGAATATAACTATACTTTCCTGAATTTGAAAACATGACATTCTGACCTTAGATGTGAGAAATGTTCCCATGAAGACAAACTTTCCCACAGCAAAAACCATTGATTTACAGCACAGACCATCTATATCACAGTGTGACTCTACATGGTCCTTGGGGACCCCCTACCAGGAATTGGGGGGGAGCAGAAATGTGGTGTGTCTGCGGGTGTGTCTGCGGGTGTGTCTGCGGGAGTGTCTGCGGGACTGTCTGCGGGACTGTCTGCGGGACTGTCTGCGGGAGTGTCTGCGGGGGTGTCTGCGGGTCCCAGAGGACCGGGCTGGGAAACGCGGCTCTAACATGAATCTCATTCCCCCAAAGAACCCCATCATTACGCAGTTCTTCCCCACCCTGCTGCTCTGGGCCTTCTCTGCCCTGCTGCCCACCATCGTCTACTACTCAGCCTTCTTTGAAGCCCATTGGACCAGGTATCTGCATACTCTGTCATGCACTTTTTCGATTTTCACTAAAACTTATGAGACACGAGCTCCCTGTTCGGCTGCGACCGGCTGCCCGAGCCTCCGGGTCTCCCTGCTGCTTCTCAGCTTGCCCCTTTTCCTGTTTGCTTCAGGTCGGGGGAGAACAGGACCACCATGCACAAGTGCTACACGTTTCTCATCTTTATGGTGCTTCTACTTCCTTCCCTTGGACTCAGCAGGTATTTCCGCGGCAACAGGACAAGCCGAGAGCCTAATAAAATAGCCATGGGACTGCGAAGTGGGGGAACGGCGGGTGTAATTACAGAGAGGTGGACTTCGTTGGCGGCAGAAGCACGATGAAAGCATTCTTAGCATTTTAGCCAGTCCCTCAGCTCGCCTCCATGTAGATGTCAGGCTGCTGCCTCAAATATTATGCAGCAATGTTGTTATTATTGGGGAAAACTTGTATAAAACAAAATCTTTGTTTTTACCACCTATGCAGTTTGGATGTTTTCTTCCGCTGGCTTTTCGACAAGAAAATCTTGGTCGATGCCCCAATCAGATTTGAGTAAGTGGTGTCTTTTACTCTGTTTTTCGTTGTTATTTTCTGTGGAGCCTTTTCCTGCAGTATTCTTCTGTTAAGAGTATTCCGAGTGTTTGATTGGGTTTTAATTATAGACCACATGGTCATATATGCTGGTCTGTTTTACCAGGCGATATGTTCTTATTCTTTCTTATGAGTCTGGGGAAACATTTTTCAGTGCAAAGACAAGGAGACATGGAGTTTGTTCCTCTAGCACAGGGGTCTCCAACTCCGGTCCTGGAGAGCTACTATCCAGTAGGTTTTCTGTCCCACTTGGCTTCTGATGAGTCACACCTGCTCCTGGTATTTACCTGAGAACAGGTGTGGCTCATCAGAAGCCAGGTAGGATAGAAAACCTACTGGATAGTAGCTCTCCAGGACCGGAGTTGGAGACCCCTGCTCTAGCATATGAGACAGTAATGTGTTTTTTTGGGGATGTGCTCTTGAAATGAGACTGTTGACATGTGAAATGTGTCTCGAGTTTCCAACACATTCGTTTAAAGGCAACCTAAATTTTAGGTGATAGAGGTTAATTGTTTGAACATTTCAAAAGGTTTGAACATTCCTGCTTTCTTGTCCAGGAACATTTTCTTTCACTCCATTTTCTTTGAAATCCTCCTTTATGTCTCTGTGTCATTTATTTCAAATTCAAGCCCAATAAATAGCAGTTTGCCGTTTGTCAAATTTAAAGCTTGAAACACATGTTGTGTTAGAATAGTATTATATAGAGCATTCAGGATGCATGACAGGTGCTGGGGGGGCATTCCTGTCAAAACAGGCTTTGTAGACTCAGTTTGTTGGTTGTGGGTTGCTGTTACCGTATTTTTAAAAGTGTTGAATTAAATTGTTGAGCGGGTGCATGAGTTTGGTGCTAGCAGACCATGTTGGGGGTGTCATGCTGACATGGGGGCCTCTCAGCACGTCTGCCCCTCGCCCTCCGCACCCCCCATCCTGTACCGCTCGGTCTCCGTCCTCGTCATCCTCTCTCCTGTCCTCTCGCACTCCACAGGTGTGTCTTCCTCCCAGACAACGGCGCCTTCTTCGTGAACTATGTCATCGCCTCGGCGTTCATCGGGAACGCCATGGACCTGCTCCGGATCCCCGGCCTGCTCATGTACATGATCCGGCTGTGCCTGGCTCGCTCGGCCGCGGAGAGGCGCAACGTCAAGCGGGTCAGTATTTTGGGAAAATGCTGGGGGGGGGGAGGAGCCCCTGTGTGGGCAGCCTTGGAGTAGCTGTATATTACAGCAATATTACACACCGATCAGCCGTAACATTGAAACCACTGACAGGTTTAGGGAATAACATCGATTATCTTGTTACAATGGCACCTGTCAAGGGTGTCATTATATATTGGACAAGTGAGCAGTCAGTTCTTTAACATGAGTGTTGGAAGCAGGAAAAATGGGGAAGTGCGAGGATCTGAGCAACTTTAACAAGGGCCAAGTTGTGATGATGACTGGGTCACAGCATCTCCAAAACAGCAGGTCTTCTGGGGTGTTGCCTGTAGGCAGTGGTCAGTACCGAACAAAAGTGCTCCAAGGAAGGCTAACCGGTGAACTTGCACTGGGGTCATGGACGCCCAGGGTTCAATGATGCACGTGGGGAGTGAAGGCTTGCCTGTCTGGTCTGATCTCACAGGAGAGCAATGGAAGAAAGTGGCCCGGTCTGATGAGTGATGTTTTCTGTTGCATCATGTGGGCGGCCGAGTGAATGTGTGTCATTTACTTGGGGAAGATATGGCACCAGGATGCACTATGGTGGGCGTGCCAACAGGGGGGCAGAAGCCAACACAGTTTTTCAGATTTTCCTGCTCAAACACTTCTTAATCGGTTAATTACCAGGTCTAGTAGGTGTGTCTGAGCAGGGAAATCTGCAAACCTGGCCCCCCAGGAGCGGAGCTAGGCCTCCCTGCACTCTAGGAAGCAGGCAGGTGGGTGGAGTCAGTGTCATGTTCTGGGCGATGTCCTGCTGGGAGTCTGTGGGTCCTGGGATTCCTGTGGATGCCACTTTGACACGTACCACCTATTTAAACATTGTTGCAGACCAAGTACGGCCCTTCATGGCAACCGTATTCTCCAGTGGTAGTAGCCTCTATCAGCAAGTCAATGCTCCCTGCCACACTGCAAAGATTATTCCGGAACGGTTTGAGGACCATGATGGAGAGTTCAAGATGTTGATTTGCCTCCAAATGCCCCAGATCACAATCCGATCGTGCATCTGTGGGATGCGCTGGACAGACGATCACAATCCATGGGAGCCCCCCCTTGCAACATCTGGGGTTTAATCTTAAAGAAAAAAGGGAACGACGCAAAAGTATAAAGTCCCTCCTGAGTAATTCCATGAACTTGTTTCAACTTCCATTTGCGTTTGCCAAGGAAGCTGTCTGCCTGTGTCAAAAGTGCGTGAGCTAACAGAGTGTGTCTGTCGTGCCCCCACCAGCACCAAGCTTACGAATTCCAGTTTGGCGCCGCCTACGCCTGGATGATGTCCGTCTTCACCGTCGTCATGACGTACAGCATCACCTGCCCCATCATTGTCCCCTTCGGTGAGTCACCACATCCCTTCTTGCTGGCTCTACCAGCTGCACAGCTGTTATCAATCAATATTTAATTATTTACTTATTTGATGACTAATACTTTCTTATGACTTCTTATTTCTTATTTTTAATTCTTTATTAATTTATATCGTTTGATTTTGTTCTTCGTGTTAATATGATTTTGTTCAGGGTGGCGATTAGCCCTTTGGTTTAGCGTGTTGTGTGAAATCTCCGCTCCCTTGCCCAATAAGATCCTCTCATGCATTCTGAATGCTTATTAAAAATGTAAGAACATAAGAACATAAGAAATTTACAAACGAGAGGAGGCCATTCGGCCCATCAAGCTCGTTTGGGGAGAACTTAACAAATAGCTCAGAGTTGTTAAAATCTTATCTAGCTCTGATTTAAAGGAACCCATGGTTTTAGCTTCCACTACACTAGCAGGAAGACTATTCCATACTCTAACTACACGCTGTGTAAAGAAGTGCTTCCTCAAATTTGTTTTAAAATGTTCTCCCGCTAATTTCCACTTATGGCTCACCTTTGTTAGGACTGAATGTCA